TGCTTTCACTATCTGTTCTCTCTCTCTCTGTCTCTCTCTCTCTTTCTCTCATCCCATCGATGGAAGTATGCTTTCACTATCTGTTCTCTTTCTCTCTCTCTCTCTGTTACATCTTCGACGCCACACGAGTCCTACCGGACCCGACTTAGGGTTAGAGGGACATACTAGGGCCTAAAGGCCCGACCTTGGAGGTACTACACGCCGTAAAGGCCTTACCTTGGACCAGACCCGACGGGCAGGCCCAAACGACATTACCGTTTGGGCCTGGCGGCGCTCTTGAGGCTGCCGCCCGCCGGTTGGGGCTGAACCGTCCATCTTGACGGTTCAGGGCACGGCCAGGCCTCGCAGCATTGAGGCCGGCCTCTGCCCCACCGGTACAAAAGTACCGGTCCAGCCTCARKGAGGCTATCAACCTACCGGCATTCTACCGGTACGGTATGGTACAGCGYGATACAGCGCKGRCGCTAAGTTTAGCRCAGGAGCAGCGAGGAGCAGCAGYGCAGCAYTAGCGCAGCAGCAGCGAGCGAGCAGCAGCAGCGGCGACTGGGTGTACCGGCGGCCATCGCTGCCTGAGGTATCGGGAGTTGGAGGCCTCTCTCCTCCCTCCCCTCGCCAGTTCCCTCTCTCTCTCTCTCTCTCTCCTCCTCGGCTCCTTTCTTCTTCTTCTTCTTCTTCTTCTTCTTCTTCAGATTGGAGACATATACTGGTTGGACAGAGATCAGTGTTGGACTTCGGTGGTATGAGACTGTGGTACTTACCGGGTTGGAGACTTGGAGATTGTTGGGGTTGATACTTGGCGGCATCACAGTTCGGACACCGGTTACATTTGGACTCCGTATCTCCGACATTGGTGACTGATTGTCCTCGACATTTTGATCTTGTTGGATGACATTTTGGACTACCATATCGGTGACCTATCGGATTCTATCTCGGTGACCTACCGGTGCTGTCTACCTCCCCCACCTCCTTCGTCTCTCCTCCCACCTTTCATCTGTGTAYGTGTGTACGGGATCTGGGCATCGTCCATGCTTGGCCCAGACCCCACCATCTCACGATTGTATGTGTGTGGAGTGATTCTATGTGAGTCAGTCTATGTGAGTCAGTCCGTTTATCAGACTTCCGCTGCATATATGCTCATCCTACATTGGTTGATCTTTGGTTCTGCCCATACTCATTGAAGTATGTTACAGTTTTGGTATCGGAGCAGACCATTTCACGGATCTGCTCACCAGGTAAGTCTGATTAGGAGGAAGATTGTGTTTCAATCATCCGAATCAGCTCTGAATTACTATCGAGTTCAAAGTTGCAAATTTTTTTCTTTTTTTCTTTTCGGTATTCTATTTATTTCGGCATTGCCGTTTCAATTCGGTATTCGGACTTATAATTCGGATTTCTGTTTTTTTTTCCGGTATGCTGTTTATTCGGGTTCCGATTGATTGCTAATCCGATAATCTGTTAGATTCGGATTTCCGATGTTAAAACGTATTAGGGTTGAATCAGTATCTTGTTGAAATCCGGTACTCTGATTTCCATTCAGCATTCCGTTTTCGGCATTCTGTTGTAAATCCTATATTTCGTTCTCTTTTGGTATTTCCGTTGTCTTTCAGTATTGGAAATTAGGGTTACGAAATCTTTTTGGTTTTAGATCAACTTGGGGAATTCGAACGTTTTGGGGACCGTAAATCCGGAAATTCCGCCGAAACGCGGAAAATTAGGGTTGGGACCGAAATTTTCGCGAATTTTTTTTTCGTTCCCCTTGTTTGAGAAATTCCGAAAACGGGTTTAGGCCTTTAAAAATCGGATTTTGACGGTGGAAATTCCCAAAAATTCACGTTTTTGGAAATTCGAGTGTTTTTTTCTCCTGATTTTGTCCGAAAATTTTTTGGCAAACTAATCCGACTCTGACCGTCAGTATTGCAACTTCCGGGTAGTTCACTAATTAATGGTGAACTCCCGGACTCAAACATGATCTCAAAGGATACCTGATCTTGATAACAATTCAAATTCGCTCATTATCATTATTTCAAAGATTGTTTGAATTGATTATCGTTATGAAATCATTATTGCAAAAATTGTTTATTGATTATCCTGAAGAATTATTCTTTCGTATTAATCATTAATTAAATTTATTGATGAAATAATTCGTGATTATTCTTCTTATTACGAAATTTCGAATTGTTGACGGGAATTTTTTTTTTTTTTTTTCTGTTTGATTAGGTGTCTTAGTCCATCCTTGGGACAGGGAGTGTATGAATACTGCTTGATCTGTTCTATCCCTGTGCCCACCCTCTCCCTCACACTGTTCTGCGATCCATCGGACGAGCCAGTCTTCAGCAACAGTTTCTGATGCCAGCAGGGCCAGCCTCCGAACAGCAGCCACGACGCAGCAAGAGGATCGCCGATCTCCAACAGCGACAGCAACCTCCAGTTCCACAACCGCCACAGACCAGTACTCAGATGGCGAACATGCCACACAGCGGATCATCATCCGAGGGTTCGACGGCTAGTAATGCCGAACCCTTACCGGTCTGTCCGGTGCAAGTGTCGAATGAGCCCCTCCCGGACTTCATTCAGAGAATGCAGGACTATACCGCGGCACTTACCCAGGTCAAGGAACAGCAAGAGGCTGCAGCAGCTGAAAGACTACGGATAGCAGAGGAAGCTGCAGCACAAACCTGGCGTCAAGCCGAGGCAGACCGCTTGGCGATCGATCAGCTCAACGCCGGCAGCGCTGATCTTGTAAGTGCTAACCAAGCACAATGGACAGCGGTGCTCAACRGGATGCGTTATGTCCCGGCACCCGGCAGCGAGCCGACAACAGTACAGCAAGAGAGGCATGACCTGGCAGATATTCTACTCCATACAATGCTCGCCGTCATTTGGAACAGCTCCATGGGGGAGCTGCATTCCCGGTCCACACTGCAGCTGCAGCACGATCTGAGCCACAACGTGAAGATACTTGCAGCAGCTGTCAAGGTCTCGGACAACCAGTTGAAACAGCTGGATGCACGCATTGCTACCTTGGAGGCAAGGCCTCCCCAAGCAGCGCCAGGCTGCACGCCAGATATGACAGACACAACGAAGCAGCTCAATGGGCGCATCGATCATGTCGTCAATCTCATCGGCGACATAGGTGTTTTCAATGGGCCAGACACGATCAGTAGCACGGTGGCTGCCATCAAGACGGACATCACCAAGCTGCAGACGAAACCGGTCGCCACTACGAAGAATTACAAGATGCCGCACTTCGACATCAGCAAGTTCGACGACCACAACAAGACGGACGCCTTGGCATGGTGGCAACGTTTCCTCACGGAAGCATCATGCCGCACTGTCCCGGACGACTATCTGATGAAGGCGTTATACTTACAGCTGATTGTAGGAGCGCAGGCATGGATGAACCATCTGGCGGCTACCCACACATGCACCATCGCCGAACTTCACACGCACATTACGTGGAAGGATTTCGAGAAGCTATGGTTCACCCGGTTCATGGTCCGCAACGTCGTGAAGGCGGCCATGAACGAGGTGTACACCTTCTCTCAAGGGAGTATGCCAACTCGAGACTGGACAACCAAGTGGCAAAAGATAGTGACCACGCCAGGCTTCGATTTGACTTTTCCTAATCAACGATCCGAGTTCTTCTCGCGATCGTGCGCAGGATTGCATTCGGCACTCGGTAATGAGTACGACTATACCTCGTTCCAGGCTATCCTGGATTGCGCAAACGTGGTCATCCAAACGGACGACAAGGCCGCTAACGAGAAACAATCCCAGCCGCATTATGTGGCTAAGCAGGGCTATCAACGTCCGGCACATAACAATGCCGTGATTTATGAAGAAACAAACGATCTCCACGCTGCAGCAGCATCCTCGATTGATGGAGGAATTGTAGCAGCGCTCCCGCCGAAGCGTCCCAAGAGAGTTCGGAAGAACAAGGCGACACAAGAGATGACATCGACGGGAACTGGGCAGCAGCCATGGACGGCATACAAGATAACCAAGGAAGGATATGACCTGCGTCAACGGTACGGATATTGCCTATGGTGCAATGGTGTCACTCATGTGACCGCACAATGCCCCGAAAAGGGCAAGGCACGCATACCCCGTCCAGCTAACTCGGGAAACTGAGTTACGCAAGGAGAGGGGCGACGTCTCCCCTCACTCCGCCGGACCCGGTTGCCTTGCTAGCAATCGATGTCACTACCGGGGAGCATGCGTTAGTCGCAAGTTCTCGTGCTACGTACGAGGATTATGCCCCCCAACTGGTACAACCATTAGACCAGCCAAGCCACGTGCATTTAGCTAGCGTATGCGCAGCCTGTACACCGTCGGCAAGAGATCCGGTCAGCTCGCCACTGACTTCCGAGGACTCGACGGCGTGGTCAACACTTGAGGAGCTTGACCCGCTCACAAGAGAGGACTTCGCTTGGATGCCTCTACCCTCGACCGGAACCTTGCCAAGGCCGCATTGCAACGCCTTGATGGCAACTCTACGCTCCTATTTGCACACTACAGTACCAGCTCCGTTGACGGACGACGGAGTAGCGGTTGTCGATCTCCGTTCGTATCTTGCGAAGATTGACCGCGAGTACGCCACCCAAAGGTACGCCGAAACCGACGCGCCTTTGCTCTATATCCGCATTCAAATCGGGAAGGCAACCTGTAGTGCCTTGATTGATTGCGGAGCGTCTCGCAACTTTATGAGCCAAGCCTTTATGGCCCGCGCAGGCCTTGGCCCGCGCGTTCGAAGGAAGATGCAACCCACACAAGTCACACTCGCGGACGACCCCACGCAAAAGTCAATTGACCGATGCGTCGACGGCGTTCCGGTATACTTTGCGCCACTTGCGTGCGAGCCGGTGTCTTTTGACATCCTCGACACCAAGTTCTACATGATTCTAGGCATGTCTTGGTTGCCTAGCGCCGATCATCCGGTGAACTTTCATGACCGAACCGTTCACATCCGTGATCGGAACGGAGTGTTAGTCCCATGTACGGTCGCGACCCCTCACACTTCGATTGCTTGTCACGTGGTTTCCGTTGCGAGAATTCGCGACGCCATTGCTCGGAATGACGTCGAGGAGATGGGCCTTGTATTCTTGCATGCTCTCCCCTCGCCGGACGGACCAGCYGCGTCACCGCCGGACCYACGCATTTCTCACCTCTTGGACGAGTATAGAGACGTCTTCGAGGCTCCCAYCGGAACGGTTCCGGATCGGCCCATACGTCACGGGATCACTCTCAAGGCTGGCACCGTCCCTCCGCGTGGATGTATCTACCGCATGAGCGAAGAGGAACTYGAGGTGCTTCGCGCACAACTCGATGACCTTCTCGACAAGGGCTGGATTCGCCCTAGTTGCTCGCCATACGGTGCCCCTGTTCTCTTCGTCCGGAAGAAGAACAAAGACCTACGGTTATGCATCGATTATCGGAAACTTAACGCACAAACCGTAAAGAATGCCGGCCCTCTCCCTCGGATTGATGATCTTCTTGAGCGGTTAGGCGGCGCGACGTACTTCTCGAAGTTGGACTTGAAGTCAGGTTACCACCAGATTGAAATTCAGCCTCAAGACCGGTATAAGACCGCGTTCAAGACGCGGTGCGGGCATTTTGAGTGGGTTGTCATGCCCTTTGGCCTCACCAACGCCCCCGCGACTTTCCAAGCAGCGATGACGACTGAGTTTCACGACTTGCTCGATAGCAGCGTCCTCATCTACCTTGATGACATCTTGGTTTATAGTAGGACGTTGGACGAGCACATCGTACACCTTCGCGTTGTTCTCGATCGTTTGCGACTAGCCAAGTACCAAGCGAATCTTCACAAGTGCGAATTCGCCAAGCAAGAGCTTGAGTACTTGGGTCATTTTGTCACGCCGAAAGGCATTCGTCCCTTAGCGGACAAGATCCAAGCCATCGTGGATTGGCCGGAACCCCGTTGTGCGACATGTGTACGCTCTTTCATGGGTTTGGCTGGATACTATCAACGATTTGTCGAGTCATACTCGAAAGTGGCCGCTCTTTTGTCGAGACTTCAGTCCCCGAAGGTGCCCTTCGAGTTCGACGACGCAGCCCGTGGCGCGTTCACTACGTTGAAGGCAGCGATGCAAGCCGCACCTGCCCTCCGTATATATGACCCCACCCTTCCCACCCAAGTGACTACGGACGCTTCGGGGTACAGTATTGGTGCGGTGTTGGAACATTGTCACGAGGACGGTTGGCATCCGGTCGAGTACTTCCACCAAAAGGTGCCTCTCGTAAACACTCTCGACGACGTTAGGAAGAAAGAGCTACTCGCGTTCGTCACCGTTCTCAAACGGTGGCGCCACTTTCTTCTCGGCCGTCGGCGTTTCAAATGGAATACGGACAACAATCCGTTGACCTTTTA